AGTAGAAAAAGAAGAGAACATCTTCAATCTGATAAAAGAAACTTATATCTAACATAATATATGAAGAAACATAGTGATCATAGTGATCATAGATCATTTTCCCCTATGATCAGGAACAAGGCAAGGTTTTCTGCTCTTATCACTTCAACTCAGTATATGTTGGAGGTGCTGGCCAGTGCAGTAATGCCAGAAAAAAATAAATAAAAATATTGAAAAATGCAGAAGTAAAGTCTTTATTCACTGAAGACATGATTGTTTGTGTATAAAATCCTCAGGAATCTACAGAACAACTACTAAAACTAATGTGTGAGTTAAGCAAGGTCACAGAAATAATTATATACAAAAAAACAATGGAATTTTTATATTCTGGTAGCATTTGGCTGGTAAACTTTTAAAATTCATTTTCAGTCACACCAAAAAACAAAATACTTAGGGATAAATTTAACAAAAATTGCACAAGATGTCTTAAATGAAAACTGTAGGGGCGCCTGGGTGGCTTAGTTAGTTAAGCGTCCAACTTTCACTTAGGTCATGATTTCGCGGTTCACGGGTTCGGGCCCCGCGTCGGGCTCTGTGCTGACTGCCAGCTCAGAGCCTGGAGCCTGTTTCAGAGTCTGTGACTCCCTCTCTCTCTGACCCTCCCCTGCTCACGCTGTCTCTCTCTCTCTCTCTCTCTCTCTCCTAGAAATAAATAAAACATTAAAAAAAAAAAAAAAGAAAACTGTAAAACTTTGTCAAAGAAATTAAACCTGGACTAAATAAACACAGAATAAATACCATGTAAGTGGATTGTTCTCCCCAAATTGATCTTATAGATTCAACACAATCCAAAACTCTTAACAACATTTTTTTATAGAAAATGGTAAGTGGATCCTAAAATCTATCTGGAAAAGCAAGGGCCTAATGAACCTCAAGAAAAAAAACAAAAACAAAAACCAAGTTGAAGAGTTTCTTTATCTAGTTTCAAGACTTACTACAAATCCAGAGTGATCAAGGCAGTGTGACATAGGTGGAAGAATGGATAAATGAAACAAATAGATCCATAGAAAGCCCAGAAATAGATCCACACTAACACATATACAAGTGATTTTCAACAAGGTACCATGGCATTTCAGTTTGGAAAAGAGAGTATTGAGCAAACAGTGCTGGGCAACTAGATAAACATACAGAATGAACCACACCTACTACCTCACATAATACGCTGAAATTCATATTAGATGGATCATTGAATGTAAAAATTAAAACTATAAAGATCTAGAAGAAAACGTTGGATTTTCTTTGCAACTTTGGGCTAGGCAGGGATTTTTTTAGGAAATAGAAAGCACTACTGTAAATAATGATAAGCTGGACTTCATGAAATTAAAAACTTCTGCTAAGCAAAAGGTATCATTAAGCAATAAGCTAATCTTGATAATGTGTATATGAGTTTCTATATACTATTGATAATTTTCTGTAAGGAATTATTTCCAAATAAAAGGTTAACAAAAGATACCATTATGATAATAGGCAAGAAAGTATTCACAATACATATATCTGACAAAGGACAAATATCCAAAATATATAAAGAATTCTTAGAATTATAGAGAACAACCCAATAAGAATTGAGCAAATGACTTAACAGACATACACAAGACATACCAGTAAACGCATGTAAAAGTGGTCAAAGTCGGGGTACCTGGTTGATCTGGTCATTGGAATGAGCGACTCTTGATCTCAGGGTTGTGAGACTGAGACCCATGTTGGGCATTAAAAGAAAAAAGTGAATGCCATTCATAAGACAAAAGCAAATAAAATCAATGATATTCGTTCATACCAGTCAGAATTGGCTAACATTAAAGTCTGCTAGTACCAAAAGTTGTTGAGAGTATACAACCACTGCAACCACTTTGGAGAATTATTTCTATAAAATTATACATACTTAATTTCCCAACCACCCAGTAATCCCATCCTCGTTATCAAGAGAATGAAAATACTTGTTCACAAAAAGACTCTATAGGCATATTCAGACAGGTTTTATTTATAAGAAACCAGTACCGGAAACAAGTATCCATCAACAAGAGAATAGATAGATAAATTGCATAGCCATACAAACCTCAGCAATTAAAGAAAGGAACTATTGGTGCATATTACAACATGGATAAATCTCAAAAGTGTCACGTTAAATGAAAGAAGCCAATCACAAAACCGTATTTGCTACACCATTTCATTTATAAGAATTTTAAGAACAGACAAAACTTAGACATTATAATAGAAATCAGGAATGAGGATTGATGAGAAGGGGCCAGGAGAGAACTTTCTAGAGTGATGGAAATGTTCTATATTTTGTTTGGAGTTGTGATTACATTAGTGTATACAATTATCAAGGCACATGAGACTGTACTCTAAAATCCTCATACATATTTTACCCCAGTAAAGAAATAAAAGAGACTATAACTGTTTGTTTTTATGATGTCCATTCATCATGCAAGGTGGATGTTGACTCTTCTAGTGTAAAGTAAGTTTATAAAACCCTTTATCTTGGCTAAAGACCCTGCATGATTTGGTTCTTGCCTACCCTTTCTACTTCATGCCCTCTTTTTACCTCCTAGCTCCTATCTAACCCTGTTGGCTTTATTATAAAGTAGGTCATTTCTTGATGTTTTCTGGTCAGTCTCTTATTTCTTTTCTTCATTGCATTTAGGATAACTTGCATTTATTTTCTCTCTTTCTCCTTTTATACCTCGCTTTTTTCACCATCCTATTCCCCAGTGTTATTCTCAGGCTGTTGCCTGCCTCAGTGAGTTTTTGTTAAACATGTGAATGAATGAGTGTTCTTGTTGTTCTGTATGTTGGTAAAGCGGTACTCTGCGTAAACATTCCTCTGTTTGGGGTTTGATCCTTACCAATTCAAATAAAAATGGCATAGTCTTTTTTTTTTTAATGTTTATTTATTTTTGAGAGACAGAAACAGAGTACGAGCTGGGGATGAGCAGAAAGAGGGAGACACAGAATCTGAAGGAGGCTCCAGGCTCTAAGCTGTCAGCACAGACCTTGATGCAGGGCTCGAGCCCACGAACTGTGAGATCATGACCTGAGCCGAAGTCGGACACTCACCTGACTGAGCCACCCAGGTGCCCCAAAAATGACATAGTCTTTTTTCTATAAGCAAAGCAGACCTAGACTGTGCTCAAATGAGTTTTTGGTTGATGCAGCCAAACTATTTGTATAATCCAAGGGAACTTTTTCTTCCCTTTCCCTTTCCAGAATCCCAATATAGTTTCCCTTCTCTTTTCTAATCAGAGCTTCTTACACAAGAGACCTAATAACATGATAATGCTTTCCAAACATATTTGTTCCAGTACCTATTGGTAAAATGTTTGAGCACATTAACCACATAGGTACATTTACTTATTTCAAAAACATGAATATATTGCAGTACCTACTATATAATTAAACATGCACAAAAATAACATTTTTTAAAGGATGGGATGAAAGATGGCTCTAACCACCCCACCTCCCCATGTGCTCATCCCACTTTGAAGACACTGCCTTGTGACAAATATTATACTATATTTACTTATACATCTAAGTATAAACCTGCAGTAAGCTTAATACTCTTTCATTTTAACCTTGCCTCTGACTATGGATTGAAAGGCTTTATTGCATTTTAAATGATTGTTTATAATATTGTTTCGTGCAGGTAGGGTAGAATTTTTAGGTGGAGCATATTCTGAATTCATCTCATATAATTTTTACTGATTTTATTCTTAACATTGTTCACTGATAATTTTTCTACAGAAGAATATATATTTTAGAGGGAAGAAATAATGAGATTAGGGAAGTAGGAAGGCAGATAAGGAAGAGCTATAGAAAAGGCTATGTTGGAGCACCTGGGTGGCTCAGTTGGTTAAGCATCCGACACTTGATTTTGGCTCTCAGGTCATGATCTCACAATTTGTGAGATTGAGCCCTATATCGCACTCTGTGCCAACAGCACAGAACCTGCTTGGGATTCTCTCTCTCTGCCCCTCCCCTGTTTACATTCACTCTTTCTCTCTGTTTCAAAATAAATAAACATTTTTTTTTAAAAAAGAAAAGGCTATGTTGACTTTTAAAATATTTAATTACACTGTAAATATGGATAGTAGTTCATTTGAATGAAATGTCATCAGCTTGGGGGATTACTAAGTGTAGAAAATTAGCAGTTTGTACATGTAGATAAAGTTGCTAAAAATGGTGGAAACACCAAACGATTATTCTCAGGTAAAAAGACAGTCTTTAATAAGCATCAACACTGCTATATAGCAGCCTGAGACAGGTTTGGAGATTTTAAGCCTCCTGTTACCTCTGAGACCTAAAGGAAGCAGAACATAAAAATGAGCCTCTATCAATTTGAAGCAAACCTAATCTTTGTGATCATGGCTGTGGTCTAAATCTATTAAGGATGTTCAAATTCAGTGTCCTTGGTATCACTGTGGCTTGACCTGAATAGTGAGCAATAAACTTGTGTATTATAATTCTGGTTTGAAGATATGTGCTTAGGAAGTGAAACCGACAGTCAGTGTTTGGTGTCTGTCTCTAAGCAGACTAAAAGCCTATATAAAATGACAGGTGCATTTCTAGGGAAGGAAACCTATAATGTTTTCCTATTTAGTAGGTGACACTATGTCCCAAGATAACACAAGCTTAAGGGGCTGGAACAAGCATGGTTATTAAAGGCTAGCAGTTCCTCAGTTCATACAAATTGAATTTTTTCGTAGGCTAGAAGACTGTGGAAATCTAGTGTAGAGTACTGAAATAAATTAGCATATTAAGTGAATTTATACATTCAGGCTTGTGAGCACTTTGAATTTAAGGAAGAAACTTTATTACTTCTTGAAAGGGAGAAAAAGCAGTTCTTAAATTCTGTTTGATCTCCCTATTTGAAAGGGCCTATATGATAAACGATATCATTTTGATGATTATCCAAAGCAGCGGTTATTATATTGATCAAAATCTTTCTCTCTTCTTTCTTTTTTCAGAATTACTGATTTAGGGAACATTAAAAGAAGATTGTATTTATCAACAGTCCATAAGGAACTGTCCTCCACTCCTCTTCATGCAAAAATCCCACTTTTCATGATCAAACGCAAAATTGTAAGTGTCACATGAATGTTGCTTAAAATATTAAATTCAACTCAGCAAATACTAATTATGGGCCTATTCTGTGTATAAGGTACTTTGTTAAGTGCTATAGTCATAAAAAAGTGAATAAAATGCATACTCTTCCTTTCCCTCCCATGAAGGAGCTTAAAATCCAATAGGTGGGAAAATATAATTATTTGAGCATCTGGAATAGTAACAAAAATGTGATAGGAAGTGCAGTGAAGAGAGAAATTCTACTGGTACCAGGAAAGGAAAAGAAGCCCATCTGAGTGCAAGATGAGAAAAGGCTGCATGAAGAAGAATACACTTCTTTGAGCCTATGAAGGACTGTAAGAATTCAACAGGTAAAGAAGGGAAGCAAGCATTCCAGGCAGAAGGAACAGCATGAACAGAAGCCTGAAGGCTGAAAATTGGTACATATTTTGAGAACAAAGAATGATTAATCATTGTTGCCAGATTTTTTAAAAATAACCTTAAGGAAACAGCAGTCCTATAATGCAACAGTCAAGTATAGGTTGGGAGATTTTATGCCTATTGTGTGACCTCTGAGACCTAAAGCAGCAGTAATGTAGGGGAAGGTAAACAGTAGGCGACAGGCTAAGAAATTTGAGCGTGATATGACTGACTAGTCTTTCTCAGACTTCAGTTATTTTAGTACTACTCTCATGACTTTCCCATGTTTGTGTACGACCTGTGATTAATACTTTCCTTTAAATAACTCACCTTTTGGGGTCTTAAATACATTTATTTTATTTTTTTTTTTAATGTTTTATTTATTTCTAGGAGAGAGAGAGAGACAGCGTGAGCAGGGGAGGGTCAGAGAGAGAGGGAGATACAGACTCTGAAACAGGCTCCAGGCTCTGAGCTGGCAGTCAGCACAGAGCCCAACGCGGAGCTCGAACCCACAAACCGCGAGATCATGACCCAAGCGAAAGTCAGACGCTTAACCCACTGAGCCACCCAGGCGCCCCATAAATACATTTATTTTAGAAGAAACCTTTAACCACTTTCTCAAATGTATGGACACCAGTGTAAGGAAGGATCATGAAAAGTCAAGTAAATATGACACCTGGAAATTAATAAATCTCTAATAACTGATTCTAAGAAAAATGGAGATCTGTGATCTGTCAGACAAAGAATTCAGAATAATCTTCTTAAAGAAGTTTGGTGACCTACAATAATATACAGGCAGACAACCAAATGAACTTAGGAAAACAAATCACAAACAGCACAAGATATTTGACAGAGTAATAAAAAATATCAAAAGCAAGCAAATAGAAATGTTGGAACTGAAAAATACAGTAAGTTGAACTGAAGAATTCAATAGAGAGCTTCCAAAGCAGATTCAATCATGCAGAAAAAAGAATCAGTGACCTGGAAGACAAGGCAACTCAAATTATCCGGTCAGGGAAGTAAAACATGAAATGGAATGACAAAGAGTGAAAAAAGCCTATGGGAATTATGAGACACAAGGAAAATAAACAATATTCACATTATGAGAATTCCATAAGGAGGAGAGAGAAAGGGACAGAAAGTCTATTTAAAGCAGTACTGGCTCAAAACTTCCAAAACCTGGGGAGAGAAATAGATATCCAGATCCAAGAAGCCCAAAGGACCCTAAATAAGATGACACAGACATAATGCAATTACATGTCAAGAGTCAAAGAAAGAATTTTAAAAGCAACAAGGGAAAAGAGAGAAGTTACATACAAAGGAACCCCCATAAAACTATGGGGAGATTTTTCAACAGAAGCTTTTCAGGCCAGAAGAGAATAGGATAAATATTGGGGGGAAAAAACTTAAAATCAGCCAAGAATACTCTACCTAGCAAAGCTGTCTTTCAGAAATAATGGAGGGATAAAGTCTTTCCGAAACAGACAAAAGCTGATGGAATTCATTACCACTAGACCTATCTTACAATAAGTACTAAAGGGAGTTCTCAGAGTAGAAATAAAAGGCCTCGAACAACATGCAAATCTAAGACGGCAATGTAAAACTCACTGTATATTCAATAGTCCGAGTTGGAGCCAATAGCAGGGCAATAGTGGTACGTAATTCATTTACAATAATATAAAATTGCATTCACCCTTTTATGTCTAAGTATTGATTTCCTTATTCATCTAAGATTTTTTAGAGTAGTGTTAGGTGGTTTCTAAGAGTTAAATCATGTGTGAGACCAATACACTATTCTATGTGGTCATTGAATCAAATCTTTCATTACTTTGCTTTTGTGAGTCCAGTCCCCTTTGTCAGTTAACTAACTGAAGTTCTAGATAGTTTGTTAAAATGTAAACTGATGATTCTGTACACGGCTATGATATACACACGTACACATACCCAGTGTCATTTGTAGGAATACAGTATTTGAAAATCAAATACTATCTTTCTTTACAAGTAAACCTTGATGAGATAAGAAGTAAACTTAACTGACTGATATTTCTTATTTAACAAGTGAGTCAGATGAATTTGTGCCAGTGGCACCAAGTATCTAAGGACACAAGAAATGTACTATGGAAACTAAAAAATAATAGTATGTGTAATAGGTCCTGGGGCCTGATGTTCTATGACTTAACTACCTCATCTTCCCAGCCTCCAATCAGATGATTCTGGAGAATAGTTACATATAGGTTTTAAAAAATTCTGGTGTGAAGAAAGCAAACTGGTCAGTATTTTAGGTAACTTAAGCTCATGCTAAATTTTAAAAGGCAAAGCAGTCATAACATTTGTAACGTATCTAGAACTTTTTCCTCACTGTGGCTGAATCTAGAAAGAATTGTTCACTTACCTATGAGATAGTCCTAAGCAATAAGCAAAGATAAGATTTTTTCTATAGTGTTCCCCATCCCAGTGAAATCACCAAGTCATAACTACTTGTAATGTATTCTAATTATTCTATATTTTGTTAAATACAAACACATACATAATACATAGAGATTAAGAGCATGGTATCTGAATTCTCACAGTTACAAGTTATGTGACCCTGTGCAAGCTTCTGTGTTCATTTTCCTCATAAAGGAGGGCACTTGTTGGGATGAGCACTGGGTCTTATATGGAAACCAACTTGACAATAAACTATTTAAAAAAATAAAATGCATCTAATATAAGATATACATGAGATATACATCCTATTAAAGGTTGTTGTGGAGATTTACACAAGTATATAAACATAAGGCTTTTAGAACAATGTCTGGCATAGTCTAAGCCTTAGATAAGGATTACAGCTCCAATTTGCTCTTTAGTTGCTACTTCTTCTAGGAAGCCCTCCATGGTATCCCCTATGTGGTTTAGATATTTGGGGTATAGTTCACCATTGGCATTCAAAAATTCCTAATCCTTATAACACTTCTTCACTCTGCACCAAAATCACGTTTGCTTACATATCTCCCCGCCTTTAGACTATAAGCATGTCTTAATTGACTTGTATCCCTAGTACTACCCTATAAATCCATGGCATGTAGTAAGTACTCCATAAATATTTGTCCAACAAATTGGCAGATCTTACTGTGCCTCCTGACATGGGAGAGAAAATAAATGAGTTTGTCATGGACCTTTCTAAAATGTGCTAGATGATCCCAGAAATCTTCTGTACTATTCAAACAAATATTAAGAAATTCAGTTCTAAAACTTATACTAATTTCCCTTGAATCCAAGAGATGCTGCAGTAGCAGAGGGTCTTTCATTTCCACTGTTGATGTAGTCTATTCACATTGAGCCCTTATCGAATTAGAACTGAGTTATGTTTTAGGGGAACCTTCTGTAGAGAGAAGCAAGGTGAGAGAGAGCACTCCACCCATTCAAAATGCCATCGCTAGGCTCCTCCTTGGTGTTGATGTGGTGCTGCTCTACTTCTCTGCTTTTTTTTGTTTGTTTATTATATTTATTTTTCAGAGAGAGAGACAGAGTGTAAGCAGGGGAGGGACAGAGAGAGTGGGAGACACAGAATCCGAAGCAGGCTCCAGGCTTTGAGCTGTCAGAGAGAGAGCTGTCAGCACAGAGCCCAACACAGGGCTCAAACTCATGAACCATGATGAGATCATGACCTGAGCCAACCCAGCCGCCCCTCTAGTTCTCTGCTTTTTGCCAAAACTTTCTTCACATCTACTTTTTTAGAAACTGTAGATATTTTGAAACACAGTATTTTTTAAAGCTCTTCAGCTAACATTTATAAATCAAAAGTTATCAATACCGTCTGCTGTGTACTGAGCAGTCAGCTGAAGCAGAGTGGCAACTGCACACTTTTAACAGGGCTTTAAGCTCTGCATGAAGTTTAGTCCTCTGCACTCATAAAGAATGCAGGTGCACTCAGACCCTTCCTGTTTCGTTCATTTCAGTTATCTGCGTCGGCCCTCTAGGCATACGGTTTGCCTCGATTTAAAGGATAATTGCTAAATGGTCCACTTTGCCTTGGTTCTTTAGCTGAAATCTTACATAGCCAAAGGCAGCAAATAAATATTCTTAGAGCCACACCAGTATGAATATTTATGTCTAGTTATTCCAGTTACCATTAAATGTTCAACCTTTCAAATTAAAAAATTTATTTTTCATGTTATTCTTAATTATGAGTGATTCACTTTACATTTAAATTACAACAGTTTATACTTTTTACTTAGGTTTTCAATGATAAGAGCAGTTTGAAAAATTAATAACCATCAGATTAAACAATGGAGGTAGCCACTTAGTCAAGACTCACTGAAATCAATCTTACTTCTCTTTCAATCTAATTCCAGTTAGTTGATGATGGTATCAAATGAACATCAGTGTCTTGCCACCAAAGTATATATTAATGTACAGTATATCTAATTGTATCTGAATAGGAAGTTCAGGTATGAAATATCATTGAGCATGAATCATTCATTGGAGCTATAATGAAGTGGTATGATAAATTGCAATGCCAAAATCTTTTAGTAACCTTTACCACTCAGATACCCAGTGTTTGTCATTTAAATGACAACTCTTCAGAAGTTGTACTTTCTTGAACCACAACTCTGATG